TAGCTAGTGTATTATATTAGGCTTATATAATAGTATAATTAAGATCTAGGATGCAGTAATAGGTATATATATATAAATACTTAAGGGCTATAATAGTGCTGCAGTGTTATTAGTAGTATTCTCAGCAAATAGCTAGTATATTATATTAGGCTTATATAATGGCATAGTTAAGATCTAGGAGGCGGCAATAAGTACATATATGTAGATACTTAAGGCCTATGGCAATTTAGTGTTATTAGTGGTGTTCTTAGCGGATGGCTAGCGTATTATATTAGGCTTATATAATGGCATGGTTAAGATCTGGGAGGCGGCGATGGGCGCGTGCGTGCAGACACTTAACGTCGGGAGAATATTATATTGCCTTTCATTTGATCCAATGACTAACTCTTGCCTCTCTACCGACATTGGACTTCTGAACTTAGAACTACCGAATCAATCGCCTGCCGTTGCCGCCCAGTCGACTGAGGAGGCTGTTTCACAACACGCTAGCCACCCCGGTTACGGTATAAGCACCGACGGGGTATGGGTCGTGAAGGATGGAATGGATATGCTTTGGCTACCTCCGGAGTATCGCCCGGAGAGATCGGCTGTGGTTGGATCAACGGTCGCTATCGGCTGTCCTTCAGGTCGTGTGCTGGTAATGAAGTTCTCTTAGAGCGAAGGCAGGCATAATTATCTTTTTAGTCACAAACAGCCCTTTCCCAGTTCTCAGTAGCGACCTACGAAATTGGCTCTGATTGATTTGGAAGCAGGAAGCCCGGCCAGTAACTATTTCCTGCTTTAGCTGGCTAGCCCTAGTGGTGTTTATCGAGCTTCAGATGTGCTATAGGGTTAAGCCACCGTCATTTCTTTCTCTTTAATTTTCTTTTTCAGTTTGATCTCGGAGGGTCGTCGGGGCCGAATAAAATTTATGTTGGAATGGACTGGCGTTCTTGCCTTCTAGACCAAGCGAGAACTGTCTGGCACCGGGAGTCATTTGATCTATGGTTCCTTCACATTAGAAAACATCAGCTTTTCTGTGGATGGAGTTTTCGTTTGGTTAATGCTTTATTTTTGAGATAGAGGTTGGTGGCTGAAAAGAGATACATCTTGCTTGTTAGACAGCTCCTATTTTCTGGTTGTCCGGAGCTCTTATTTCGGTCACGAGCGGAGGCCGGCTCGGCATCGAATGTACCCACAATTTCCGATGGCCGATCGTGGCCTTCGGGTCCTTGCATGACATGCTTTGATTAACTTTTATCCACCTATGAAGACGCGGTTCTTCATATGTTGACTATGATGCTGTCTTATTGCTGAGGGTACCCAATCAACCGTGCCCCTTCAGCCTCACCATTAAAAACTTCAGCAATGCCTAGGAGCCTCCGTTTTGAGAATCTTTTAGCATACGGGTACCTGCACCAGACCTTCCTAGGACCGAGTAGGTTATCGGGGTGTTTATTACACCTATCGGTATCCTATTAGGCTAAACGAAATAGCATCTACTCCGAGCATCTAGCTACGGACTACGGTCTCATATAGAACCGAGGCATACGCCCTCCAGATCACCCGACTAATAACTCCAAGCAATCGTGCACGTGGAATATCAAGGAACAATGTGTTTTGCAGCGCTCCTTGGCTCGTTTAAGGTATATCCCAACCATCTCAAAGACTCCCGACCCAGAAGAGCATGATGACTTCAACTTCTCCTACGATACTTGAGTTTCGTACAGTAGTGCACTTGCAGACTCGAGCCGCCTCGTTCGGGGAAACGTTGAGCAAAACGCCGACGAATCTCCGCCCACCCAAGCTGCTCCTCTTCCTTCAGTTGTATGAGGAAGCTATCTTCATCGTCTGAATACTTTGCCCGTCCTACAGAGGCTCGCTTGGTTGTTTTCCTTGTCGCGACCAAGCGGGTTGAATCGGGGGTCATAACGGTGGCATTTGGGTGATTTGTGCAAAGGGGCCAATTGAACTGGAATTGAAACGTAGTCTTGCCATTTTCGGTAACGCGTTTCATTGAAACGTTCTCGAGCGGCCATTCCTGAAACTGAGCAAGAACCGCACTGGCCTCGGAGGGAACAGATCTTGCACGCGGTGGTGTTGGACTTAACAAGCCAAGTGCCGATGTGTCGCGCTCCCTCAATGAGTGTGCGGAAGCTCTTGTGGATCGCCTCCTTCGGTGAGAATCCCGGGCACTGGTAGCCGCATTGTGTGTCGAACAGGAAGGAGACTTAGAGACCTTGCGGCGTTTGTGATCTTGATGTTCTTCATCGTCGACATCATCGTCTTCCGAGCCAGGTCCTTGAACCTCTGGAGGCGAAGGACAATAGTCCTCGTCACGCGCATATTCTGGAACATCGGGGCCATCCTCACTGCCGGAGCTTTCAGTATCTGCGTCACTGTCCTCCTCTTGCGCTGTGGTATGCGCATGTGGGGATCTGCGACGAGAACGGCGCAGGGACGGCAACTGGGGAGATGACCTGGCCTTGTCCGGCGATCCGGGTCCACCATCCACGGCCTCGGACTCGGGATCGCTGGACCCGCAGCTTGCGTCGCCCAAGTTTTGTCCCCGATGCGGTTCGGGTGACATCCTTGCTGCCAGCGATGAATTGCGGGCTCCAGGGGTGGGATCGTCAGACGAATTGCCGGCGGGTGCTTCGCTTGCCTCGAGTGACGCTTGGGTCACCTCGGCGGGGCTGGCAGTCCGCGGAGAGTGCGTGTAAGTCGAGGGGGAACCCGGAGGACCCTGGGCGTCATAACAAGCGCCATGGTCAGAGACGGCATCGACCATCATGTTGCTCCATTCACTGACTGGTACGGGTCGAAGCTCTTGCCCGTCCGCCGCGGCCGGGTATGGCTCGCTTTCAGGGCTAGTAGGAGGGGTTGTAAAATTGACATCTTGAGAGGCGGACGCATCTCCAGAGAGTACATGATTCATCTTGCAAGAAGATTTCCGGCTCGGTTCGGTATCAGCGAGGTGAGAAACTTGTGTCTCATTCGGCCAAGTTGGGGCGGCTTCCGCTTGAGCTGGGGATACTATTGGCGCAATGACCACGCCAATGGCAGCTTCTGGTTCAGTTGCGCCATGTTCGGTGCCGGTGAGATCTAGATGTCGGTTGTCAGAAACTTCCATCTAAACAGAGCATCACGACGTCGAAGACCTACCCAGATAGTTCGGGGTGCTGGCACGTGTTGCGTAAGATTGCAAATTGTTGAGTTCTCGACTCTCGTCATTTTCATCTTCAGTGTCAGACTCGACATCAGAGGGAATGCAAATCGCTGTGTCGCTGGATTTTCCAATAGCCAAGAGGGCCTTCTTCTGCAAAGATACTATGTCTGGCTGAGAGGCAGGAGGAGTGAGGCTTTGCCTCACCTTCCGCTGTTCAGAGTCAAAAGTCGCCGAGGCCATGCTTGCGTTGCAGAATGCGGAAGGGAAAAGAGATAAGGGGTTTGGTGTTCGCAGTACAGCCATGTGAAGATAAGCGGGCATTGTCCGGCTTATATGCTCGTTGCTGGACCATGCGGCAACATGAGTCCTAACCGCTTGCGGGCGCTTAGTCCGATGTCTCCCTGCTGCCTCCTTGTGTTCTCCAAGATGGTGATGGATCAGCTGGAGGCAGACACGTAACCGCTTCTCCTTCATGCCAATCATTTCACTGCCGGGCCACACCAAGGCAGCTATGCTGAACACATGATGCCCCCCTCGATTCAGCTTGCCGCACATCGCGAGGGATTCGCGCCACTCGTTGGCAAGGCAGAGTCCTCGGGGGAGACACAAGATGAGGCAGCTCTTCATGCCTGTTGGGCTGTTCACGCACGACACGTCATTTCCAGCCGGCCACAGCATCGGGTAGAAGGTGCCCGGCAGCACTAGCTCTTCTGTCGGACCGTGATGGAGCTCAATGCCGCGCCTGCGCGTGTTGGTCGCCCACAACCAGGAACTTGTTGAGCCATTCAGAGGACGGGAGAGCTCCAGATGCCGTCATAAACGCCTCATGAGCCCTTAGCAGTGAGGCAAACGGGGCTGACATGCATGCAACACCAACGACTCGCCGGAGTGCGCCCGTCCCCGTCCCCTTCCTTGATACCCAATCACCCCTCCCAATTCGCCGGCTTGCTCTTGATTTTGAAGCTGCTGAGCCATCGGGAGCGGTACGGATCGGGCGAGGCTGTAGCCGAGGGAACGTTCACCCAAGCGACAGGAATTCTCGGCAACCCCTGAGCAGAGAAACGGTGACTCGGACCCCGTCGAGCGAGTTGTGACCTCACTCTCCGCCCAGATCTGGGACCAATCGGGGAGCAAGACTGTGTCGGAAGCCTCCGTAGGCACCCATCACAGTTACAGGAGGCGAGCCTGAGATGGCACCATCCACCATCATGCTTTCAGGGGCTAGGGGGGGGATTCATAAGCCACTGCGGCATTTCTGCCATTGGCTGGGCGCTGTTGGAGGCCTCACGAAGATAAGCAGCGCCGTGAGATGCTCTGCTGCCTGGGAAGCATCGTAGCGCTGTGAGGCAGTCCGGCGGGGAGAGTGGCCTCTGGACTGTAAGTCGCTGTTAGACTCCACGAGAAGAGGACAGAAAGGGAATCAGTACGAGCCGCAGAGTAAGAAAAGATAACAGAATATGTGACGCCATGAGTAGCAGGATTCTTCTCCAGCCGTCCAAGACCTGGCTCTGGATTCGAGAGCAGGTGTCTCCTTGATCGATCGATTCCCGTAGAGCTTCGTCTCATTGCAGGACGATTACGCGGCAAGAGGGGGAAGGGGGCTGGGTCAGGTGGTAGCGATGGCCACCGAAGAGCTGAAACGGTGGATGCAAAGGAGCGGAGGATAGAAGGAAGCAGAAGTCAAAGATACATTTTCACAGGGACCAAGGAGGTCGCGGTCTTATATAGAAGATAGTCACGTGATGCGTGGTCAGTTTGGTGCGCGACGAGCGCACCTTGCCAATTTGAGCGAGGCCGCTAAACCGGAGGCAGCAGCAGCGAGTCCGCGATTACTAAAGTATTTAGGTATTTTCTGGCTTAATCTACTTATATAAACTCTGGCCTATTTAAGGTATATATTAATAAGGTTTATTAATTTAGAAGTAATAAGATAATAAATCTATAATATATAATTATATTAATAGCTAAAAAATACCTAAAATATATAATTATATATATTAGCTTATTACTATAGGAAATTAAGACTATTAGCTATATTTTACTTATTAATTATTTAAAGATAATTACTAAGAATAGCTTTCTGCTTATTAATTATAGGTATTAAAAATAATTTAAATTATAATAAAGGTAATAAGGCTATAAAGCTTAGTATTATGATGGTTGGAGTCTAACTATGTTAAACTAAGCCGTGCTAGGTTTATTGTTAGCAGATTATATAAAGTGTAATGCTAAGTGGTTATTAAAGTATTACGTCTCTTAATGGTAGATTTAATATATATTAGGCTTAATTAATATAAAGAAGTTTTATTAATAGCTAGTAAGCTTGAATCTATAAAAGTGCAAATAAATATATTTTATATACTTAAGTGATCTTATTAGCGATTATAGTTAAGGTTGTAATTAGAATAAAGGGATTATAGGTTGCTTTATAATCCTTCTTAGGCGATTATGGTCGAGGGCGTAATTATTCCTAGATTATTTATTAATAGGTTAGAAAAAGTAAGGTATATATAATATAACCGCAGGGTTATAATATAATATCTCCTTTCTATTAGGTCTTATTCTTAAGACCTATATATTACCTATTAAGCTAATTTTATCTTAGTAGGTTATAATTTAAACTTATATTAATTTTCCTAGGATACTAATATAATATTAAGTTATATAATAAAATATTTATTTAAGAAGTCTAAGAAACTAATTATTCTATAAGAGGCAATTAAAACTTTACTTAAGTCTGGTAATAAGGTATTTAAGAGAAGGGATATAACCGAAGATTATGTATTGCTTTATTATTTTGCAACTAAGAATAGTCTTCTCTCTGTAATGCTGTATATATACTGTTTTAAGAATAAGAAGGAGTGTTATTTTAATAATATTAAAAGATCTAGCTGTTGTCTTAAGTGTGTTTGGCAGGGTTGTTCTTATAATAGTATTTATGTTATATCTACTTATATATTTATTAGTTTCTTTTTTCTTATGTTATACTGATTTTTATAGTAAATTATTTAATAGATTAATAAGAGAAGTTAGAAGCTTAAGAGGAAGAGGTAGGTAATAAGGTGTTAATTTTTTATAAGGAGCTTATAGAGTTATAATCTTCTCTGGCTAAGGCGGTAAGTTATTTATAATAGATTTGTAAGATTAAGAGGAGAGTAAAAGAACAGGGTATAGAATTATTTAAACGGGGAATGCAGGAGCTTAATAAAGAGGATAATATTCTTCCTGCTTTATAATCTTATAAGGAGTAAGTAGTTAATAATCTTTAATTATTAGGTATTCCTAATAATATTAACTAGGCATCCTTAGGTCTTAGTAATGAATTTAATAATATTAGGCCCTTAAGGAGTTCTAGGGTTGATGGAAATTCTTTAGGAGTTATTAGGTATTAATAAGGTGTTTTAGAGGTTCTTATGTATTTTTGCTTTCTAGGTAGTTTTTCTATTTAATTAGGTATTCCCTTTAACTATTTCTTATATAGGTTTTCTTAATTTCCTCTGCTTTATAGACTTTTAGTCCTAAGATTTTTTATGGCTTGTTGCCTGTTTTAACTTATATTATGTTTGCTGCTAATTTGAGTAGTAAAATGTAAAAGACTAGATAGAGCCTAACTTTCGGTAGTAGGTCTAGTTTGTAGTTATTTTCTGAAATTTTCTATAATACCTTATAAGGTCTAATGAATTTATAGTCTAATTTATATATTAGTTGGTCTGTTTTAATGTTTTTTGTGGCTAGGTAGATTATATCTTCCTCTGAAAAGGTTAGTCTCTTTAACCGTTTTAGGTTATAGTAGTTTTTTATATATTTTTTAATAAATTTAAGTTCTATTTTTATTTCTTTATGTAGATTTTTAAGGTTATTACTTTTAAGTATAGTAGTTAGGTTAATTAATTTTTCTTGTTATATATTGTAATATATATTTAGTGTAAATCTAAAATTGGCATAAGCTGGTATAAGCTTTATGTTTTTATTATATATAGTATTATAGGTAAGTTGGGCTATTAGTAGCTTTTTAACTTAATTATTCTGTTTATAGTTAATATAATACTATAGGTATTATTTAAGTACTTAATTTATTTATTTAGTTTATTTATTAACTTACAGTTAAAATGCTATTATAAGTCGGTGGTTTAATCCAAGTTATGCTATAAGTAATTGCTAAAATGTTACTGCAAATATAGGTCCTCTATCTAAAAGGATTTCTATAGGTAACCTATATATACTAATAATATATTAATAAAAAACATAAGAAAGCTCTTTTATATCTATAGATTCTCTATATAGTAGATAGTATAAGAATTTTATAAGTTAGTTAATTATAACTATAATGCTATTATAGAAGATTCTAGTTAAGGGTTCTTTTAATAAAGGTAACTTTATAATAAAGTTTATTATAATTAAGTCCTAAGGTTATTATGCCACTGGTAGTGGTTATAATTATTTATAAGGTTTATATCTCTAGGCCTTTGTTTTTATGCAGAGGTTATATTATTTAATAATATCTTTTATATCTTTCTTTTTGAATTTATATCCTTAGTCTTATAGTTATTTTAATATTTTCTTAATACCTTAATATCTATATAGAGGGTATAAATAAAATTTATAAAGGAAGTTATATTTTTCTTTAGGTAGGGGTTTTATTCTCTTTGCTGTTTTAGTAATTATTTTAATAGGTTAGGTAAACTAGTATTCTTCTTTAGTATTTATTTCTAGGAGTTATTTCTTAGTTTTAATAGTTCTTATATTAAAGTTAGGTTATTAACTAATAGTATTTATATATTTATTATTTATTTCTTTATAGTATGTAATTATAAAATTAAACTTATATAGGTATTTAGTATAGTATAGTTATTATTGGTTTAGTTTTTATATTATTATAAAGTAAGTTATATTTTTATAATTAGTAAATACTTTTATTAGATGCTTATTTCCTCTAAGGTAATATTTAAATTCCTTAAAGTAGTTAATAATAACTAGGAATTCTTTATTATAGATAGGATAATTAAGTTCTGTTTTATATATCTTATAAGAGTAAAAAGTAATAGGGTATAATATATTATTATTATCTTATTATCTTATTTATCCTCCTAAGGTAAAGTTAGAAGTATTAGTTTTAAATTTAACTTACTAATTAGGGTTAAATATAATTAGAATAGGTTTATTTATAATGGCTAATTTAAGCTATTTAAAAGCTTATTATATTTTATTATTTTATTAGAATTATTTATTCTTTTTAGTAA